GTTTGTACTGTACCACGCGTGAACTCACTTGAACCCTGCTTCCTCACAGTTAGTTGTCTTCATGTTTAAACTATATCGAATTCATAGGTTCATTTAATGACTTCTTTCTGATTTTCCGAAGTGGTATTAAGTTCTCCTAGTTGAATACAAATCTCCTTAGTTTTAATTTGGAATAGACGGATACTCAATGAGTCGATCGCTTGCTACTTCCGAGACTCATGTTTCCAAAAATATGCTGAGGTCGCTAATCTGCCAAGAAAATCCGCAACATTCTCATCACTTGATCGTGCAAGGCCTGTGACTTATTGTTGAGGGCTATCTTGAATTCGTTGAGTTTCACGGTATCCCGAAGAAAGACCGTATTAAACTTCTGTGATGTTGTCTGCCCTGTTATCCAGCGCCTCTTGAGTTTCAGTTTCATTTTGGCGACCAGCAAGTGGTGATCTGAGGCTAAATCAGCTCCTCTCTTGGTTCTCGCGTCCTACATCATCCTTCTGAACTTTCTATTGATACAGATCTGGTCGATTTGGTTCTGAGTAGTGTGGTCCGGTGAAATCCTTGTAGCTTTGTGAATGCGTATGTGTCGGAATACTGTGCCACCGATGACTAGTTTGTTGAAGGCACATAAGTTTGCAAACCCCTCACCGTTTTCGCTACCTTCTACCAGTACATGTCGTCCCATGATGTCTTCATATCTAGTGTTGTCCATGCCGACCTTGGCATTTAGGTTTCCTATCAGAATCATCAGATCCATCGGTAAGCATCTTTCGACGAACTTTTTCGTGGAATCGATCTCTAATGTCGTCATTGTAGTAATTGGTGGGGGCATAGCATTAGATGACGTTCACTGTAAGGTAATCTTCCTTTGTTCTGAAGGATGCTTTAATGGTCCCGGGTCCTTGAGATTCCCATTCTATCAGTGCCTTTTGTGCTAGTTTGGACAACCCCTTGTGTATGTGAAGCATTTTCCTCTTCGTGGCCAGATTATAACAGCAGTTCCCCTGAAGCTAGTCTCAGTTGTCCTACCTGCGTCTAATGCGTTTCACTGATCCCAAGCAACCCTAGGTTGTATTTTTCCATTTCTGAGCGACTTGAAATCATCTTCCAGTCTCCCAAAATGTTTAAACGTTCCAGGTACCTAAAAGAATAGTTGTTCTGGTTGTCAGAAAGGTCATCTGCCTCGTGACTTTCGAGAGAATCGGGCTTTCACCATGAAACGTCTTAATTCTTCTGAAAGAAGACCTTATAACTCCAAGGGCAAAGTGGTTGTTCGAATTATGTTTTCTGGTTAACGAGTTAGTTATTTAGCGGGATGTGGTCACCAACCCCACGCCCAACCCTCCTCCCCTATCCGGGCTTGAGACCATCATTTGCTCCAGAGGGGCTGAAGACGGAGGTAGTCCAGACGAGATGAAAAGTGGGTTTTACTGAAAGCTCTCTAAACTTCTCCAAAATGTTAAGCGCTCTGGTATAGTAATAATGGCTGGCGATTTCAATGCTCAAGTAGGTAGATTAAGTGAAAGGAAAGACACTTTGGTTTATCTTATGGTGTCGCAGCTCAGAGAACAGATAATGTTACAACTATGCGTAGATAATCACATATTTCTTGCAGACACCTACTCTGAGCATAAGGAAAAACATCCTTTGACCTGGCGACCCCCAAAGCCGACCCAACTAGATGACATCGCTATAAGCCATCGGTGGAGAGGCTCTATCGAAGACTGCCGCTCATTCTGCAGCATTTGTTTAGACTCAGACCATACCCTAGTGCGAGCGCGTATTTGCTTGCGACTTAGTGGACGAAAGAAAAACACCATAAGGAAACAGTTTAGGGTTCTACTTCATGAAAGCATAGCTAGAAATATATATCAAGAACTACTAGAAAAACAGTTAGGCTGCCATCCAAGTGTTTCCCATAAGGAGGCAGCTTGGAATGATATCAAAAAAACTGGAGAAACAGCACTGATATCTGCTGGCAAGGTAAACCGTAAGGTTAAGATGAAGCTGTGGATCTCAGTAGCATCCAATCAACTTATAGACGCTCGGAAACGCATCCCACCTGGCTCTGATCATGATAAAGAGCGTAGTCAGCTTAAGCGCACGCTGATAAAAAGCCTACGCAATGATCGCGAACAGAGGTAGTTGGCAAAAGCCAGAGCGATGGAAAAGGCAGCAGCGATAGGCAACAGCAGAGAGTTGTCCCACCTTATCTAGGAAACCGATATTAAGAATCCGAATGTGAGTGAGACTATCTCAGAAAACGATGAGACTACTACCCATTCTCTATCCGGGAAATTGGATCAATGGGCAGAACAATTTGGCGATCAGGTTAGCTGGCCTTCAGGCATATTTCGGTTGCACACGGTCTCCAATCATCCCGAATAGCAAATCGATTTAAGTCCCCCGACTCTTTATGAAGTTAAGAAAACTATAAAAAGTCTGAAGCGAGCTAGAGAAGCAGGTCCTGATAGGCTAAATACCGAAATTTTCAAGGATTGTGGTCCAGTTTTAGCAACTAGATTAACTGATATCTTTGGTAGAATCTAGGAACTGGACGAACTCCCATCCAACAGGTCGCAATCACTGATTGTCCCAGGGTATATTGAAGGACAAAAGTCCCCTTGCGACAATCACAATAGAATCAGTCTAACTAATATAGTTCCCAAATTGTTAGCCTCGATAATCCTTAGACTCTTGACTGGTTTCCGACCTGTATGTGGATGTATAGATCACATTTTTACACTACATTTGACTCAGTGGATCGCGAGGTTCTGTGGAAGTGTCTATTATTAAAACGTGTACTTTATACAAGCTCTCTTCTCGAACACTACAGGTCCAGCGTGTGCTTATGACGAAGTGTCATCAGAACTGATTGCTTAAAGTGCGCCCTCAGCCCCTTATTCCAATCCCTAAATAGTAGTCTGCATATTTTCCGAAGACCTGGTTACTTTACCCAGGAGCCTGTAAATTTATTATATGAAGAATATCAACCACATCTAAGCCCATTAACCTCCTCGATTCTTGTTATATCCAGACCTGGCTCTCCCTTGCATTGTTTCGCAGTCATCAGCAGTTCATCGTAACGCAACCGCTGTAACTGGCGCCAATTATTCGCACTGTACATTGCAGAGTCTACAAAATTATCCATTATTTTGTGTAAAAATTTTGGCTTTTATATGAAGCCAATTTATATTGTGAAATATTTCAGTAACTGAACAAGGTTCTATAAAAAATATATTAGCAATCTTAACATTTTGATCTTGCTTGTAAATTGGCATGCCCCTTGCAACATTTTGTTATTTCAGAATAAATTATTATATTCATGTGATTTGAACTGACAATTGCGCCTCTGTACTAATGTGGTATGGTAGCCTGAACCAAAGTACGTACGTACGAAGTTAAACGTTATAAATGACTGACTTACTGGGGTGATATTATTTGGTCTGTAGATTTGGATTAAGGTTTTTCTGCCTACATTTATGTTTAGTACAACATGAGTTGACTTCCATGTTTTGGGGTATAAACCGGCCTCTAGGAACCATGCAAATATTCTGATCGAAAGTGCTGTAACGTTCGATCCCGCCATGTCAAAGAATGGGGTTGTTACTTCATCTGCACCACAGCTGGACTTGGGTTTTAGGGTTTTAATGGCTGTCTGAATACTGCTAAGGTCAAAGTTGATTATATTGAGATTATTCTTACCGCTAAAGTTCAGATTAATATCAGAGGTAAGAGATGTGTTTAGATTAACATTTCACAAATAACAGGGTGGTCTTAATAAGCCTCTCCATCATGCAGTATAAAATGAAAGTTATGATCTAAGTTCTTTTTTATGAATTTTATCTTGACTAACCACTGTATTGACTACTTCAACACGACAGGTTAAGCAGTGATTTGGTTATATATATACACGTCACGCTGCTGTCTTTTTTCTCTCTCTTTTCTCCCTTTCCAGAACCCTATTCAAGGTCGAAAATCTGTGGCGACTCTACTGAACATGCACTCTATGTACATGCATGTCTGGATGACAGCTTGTATCAAGCGCTTTCCAATTGACCTTTCCTAGCAAATCTACTTTTGGTCTCAGAAAACCGCCTAAGGAACTGATTGTGCACCTTCCGTATTTGTACTCTCCTACTAAAAATGTGGCTGTATCATACTGGTTCTGTCAGTGACATGGTGTGAATTTGCTATCAGAAACTGACTCTTATTTTTAATTTGACTGCGATATGTTTCACAGTAAATGTGAAAGCATTTGTGACAATTTGATGTCTGTCGATGCGTCACCACCACTCCCTTCGAGGTAATCCTCGAAAAATTGCGAATCGGAAAGCGAAATACTTAGGTTAGTGCACACTTTTTCCTATTAACAGTCGTCGCGACTTGGAATGCTCTCCCAGCCAAAGTGACCACAACACCGTAAGTGGACAACTTTAAGAAGAGACTTGATTATCATCTCCCTCGTGTACAAGCTGTGCCTGATGCAGGTCTTGAGAATTAATAGCTGTTATGATTGCCATCTCCTCATATCACTAACTTAATCTATATCGGTTTTTTGTGTGTCTGTTTTCTCTCCCTCGCCTACTCTTCGGTCTTCTCGCACAATCTTTACTTCCAACTAACCGATTGAATTAACTACTTATTTACTTCCTTTTGAAATCTTATTAGGATTTGAATTTTCTCCTTATTATTCTTCATATTGCAACTAACTGATTTTCGGCCTCATAATTTAATCGCTGCTGGTGTCGTGAAACCCTACTGCCCTGAAACAAATGTCTTCATTCAAACCACGGAACGTACAAACTGACAAACTGCCAACTGACTAAAATGAGACAGTCAAGTGGATAGACTCCCATCCAGTGGGCATTAGCAAACCCATAGAACCGTAGTGAGAGAACAAGAATTGAGAGCAAAGAAATCAAGTGCTTTTTATTAGCCCGTGAAAAAGATATTGGATAAGTTGAAGTCTGTTTGTTTGTATAATCCACTTGAAGTATCAGTAGTACTCTAATTACCATCGGTGGTAAATTGGAAATGTCTTCATCAGATCCTTATGAGTGTCTAGCGAATGAGAGTAAAATTATTGAGAAACATACCGAAAAAAGGCTGCAGAATGATCACCAAATGGATAATCTTATTCTTTTAGTCTATATAATCCTCCTAACTCTCTCTGTCATAACAATCTGGGCTTTTAAACATAGACGCTTCCGATATATCCACGAAACAGGACTTTCAGTGGTGTATGGTAAGCTAAAGCATTCAGTAAATTATTTTTAGGACTCATTGTCGGTCTTATACTCAGATATGCTATAAAATCTCAGAATTATTCTGTAGAGACGCATGTGTTTCCACGTAAAAATGATGAAGCATGTGGTGGTCGTTTACCACCAGAGAGGCTGATTATTGAGCTTCCTGTTCGTGACCAATACGGAAAGTTTAATTTAAGCATGTCGTTTCGGTACAAATTTGAACAACAATCAGATTTTGACTCTCTGATCAACAATAAGGTATTTTAATTTTAATTCTGATTATCAGGCTACGTTTGACCCGGAATTCTTCTTTAATGTTTTGCTGCCCCCAATAATTTTTTCAGCGGGATATAGTATGAAACGCGTATGTCTAAAATTTATCAAATTTGGTCTGTAGGGTCATTTTTTCAAAAACATTGGGGCTGTTCTTACCTATGCATTTGGTGGTACATTGATATCCGCGCTAGTTGTTGGGTAAGTTGGAATAAGCATCTTAATTTTTTGCAGAGTCGTCTGCTACGGCTTTACCCGTGGAATAACTTCACTTTCCCAAGCCTTACGTCTCGCAGACTGTCTTTTGTTTGGAGCTATAATATCTGCCACCGATCCTGGTAAGAATCTTTCATTATTTGTGATAGTTTAGTGACTGTTTTGGCTATCTTTAGTGACTTGAGAGTTGATGTCAACTTATATGCACTTGTTTTTGGCGAAAGTGTACTTAATGATGCATTAGCAATCGCTCTAGCTCAGTAAGTTACACTATATTCAGTTTCGTAACGTAATTTTATGCATGTGAAGCTAATATGCTGTCTTTCACTTAATATTCAGTACAGTGTATATTATTGGTGAAAGAATATGGTAAATTTTCTTTTGCAGGTCGATTGAGAAATATGGATCTCTGTCTGCTGGTAATTTTGATAGTCACGCTTTCCTTTCCTCCGTGTTAAACTTTTTCGTGATGTTTGGAGGTTCTTTTGTCACTGGCGTTTCTATTGGCTGTGTAACATCTCTTCTGACAAAGTTTACACATATTAAGGAGCATCCTCTACTGGAAACAGCTTTATTTGTTTTAATGTCTTACAGTACATTTCTTTTTGCTGAAAGTGTTGGATTCACAGGTTAGTCACTAATGTACTATATTTATCATGCTTCGATGAATCGTTTTAGTAAAGCTGGGTCAGTTCTCTTCATTTTTATTTAAAATAAAGTCTATTACCGGTAGACGGCTCATTGTGCTGAGATCACTAAAACTCTTGTTATGAGATTTATCATGATGTACAACTGTGATCAGATAACCGCCTATTTCTAACAAACACTAACTTTAGGCATAAGGAAAAGCATCTCTTGACATGGAGACTCCTAAAGTCGTCACAACGCCAAACCCAACTACATCATATCGCAATCAGCCACCTATGGAGAGGTTCGATAGAGGATTGTCGCTCGTTCTGGTGCACATGTTTGGATTCAAATCATGCTCTAGTGCGAGCGCGTACCTGTTCGCGATTTATCGAACGTAGGAAAGACACCGCAAGGAAACCTCTTAAGGTTCTATCTGATGATAGTAGAGCTATGACTATATTTCAGGAACAAGTAGAAAACCAGTTAGGCAGTCATGTAGTAAGTGATTCTCACTCCGAGGCAGCTTGGAACGATACCAAAAGGCTGTGGAAACAGGAGTGATATCTTCTCGTAAGGTAAACCATAAGGTTAGGGAGGAGCCGTGGATTTCATTAGTATCTACGGAATCGATGAACGCTCGAAAGCTCATCCCTCCTGGCTCTGAGTGCGATGAGGAGCGGATTCAGCTTAGATTCGGGCTGATAAAAACCCCACGTAACGGTCGCGAGCTCCGCTCTTGAAAGCCCTTAGTGGGCACCCTTACTGTCGGAGACGGAAATCCGTGAGGTGGGGTGAGGTGTGATATTTTTAGGGTCGACCTTTTTAACCCTTCCTTATGAGAAAGCAGCATGGCTACAGATGCTGTTTGTCCGAGAGAAACACCTTGCTGCTGTCTCACCCCTCTACAGTCAGCAGTACGATTTCGCGAGCAGTGGTGGAAGGCGAAAGCAAAAGCGATGGAAAAGTCAGCGGCAATAGGCAATAGTAGGCAGTTGTTCCGCCTAATAAAGGAAACCGGTACTAGAAATCGGTCTGTTAGCGAAACTGTCTCAGAAAAGGATGGCTGTATCACTCATCCTCAATCCAGGAGATTGGATCGATGGGCAGAACAATTAAGAGATCAGTTCAACTGGCCTTCAGCTACAATTCAGTTGCCCACGATCTCCAATCATCCTGAATAGCAAATCGATATAATTCCTCCTAGTCTTTATGAAGTTGAGAAAGGTATAGGAAATATGAGGCGAGGGAGTGCAGCAGGACCTGATAGATTGACCCCTGTGGTTTGTGAGGATGGTTGTCCAGCTTTAGTAGCTAGATTGACTGAGATCTTAGGTAGAATCTGAGAACTGGGCGTAATCCCATCCGACTGGTCCCAATTCTTGTTTGTCCCAATTTATAAGAAAGGATAAAAGTTTTCTTGTGACAGTCACAGAGGAATACGTCTAACTAATATAGTATCTAAAATATTGGCCTCAGTAATACTTGGACGCTTAACGAAAGCTCGTGAAGAGCGAACTCGAAAAAACCAGGCTGGTTTTCGACCTGGACGTGGTTGTATAGACCACATCTTCACACTACGACAGGTCCTGGAACACAGACACACATTTAGGCGTCCTACGATAGTTGTCTTCCTGGACCTAAAGGCGGCATTTGACTCAGTGGATCGTGAGGTTCTGTGGCAGTGTCTGTCATTAGAAGGTGTACCAAAGAAGTACATTAACCTTATAAAAGCTCTCTATTCGAGCACCACTGGTCGAATGCGAGCTTATGGCGAGCTGTCAACAGAATTCTTTATTTCAAGTGGTGTCCGTCAGGGATGTCCTTTTTCCTCATTCTTGTTCAATTTTGTCATAGACATGCTGTTAGATATAACATTATCTTCATCTGAATTTTCAGGAGTAGAACTTCTACCAGGTGGCTCGCTTACTGACTTAGAATATGCCGATGACATAGTCCTGTTTGATGAAGACGCTGACAAAATGCAGAGTCTTTTGACCACCCTAAGCAACAATGCGAGCATGTTCGGGATGCGGTTTTCACCCTCGAAATGCAAAACGTTGCTTCAAGATTGGCTTGTGTCGGCACCTGAACTAGTGATAGGGATTGAAGTAGTCGAGCGTGTTGACCGCTTCACTTATCTGGGGAGTCTCATCAGTGCTGATGGCCTGGTGACTGACAAAATCTCAGCTCGGATACAGAAGGCTCGAATGGCTTTTGCCAACCTGCGTCACCTATAGCGTAGGCGAGATATCCGTTTGCTGACTAAAGGACGAGTGTACTGCGCAGAAGTTCGCTCCGTTCTTCTATATGGATGCGAAACATGGCCGTTAAGAATAGATGTTCGTAGGTTGCTAGTAATGGATCATAGGTGTCTTAGAAGCATTGCTCGTATATGGTGGGACAACCGAGTAAACAATGCTGTGTTAGGAAACGAGTACTAGGTAAGGATGGCAGATCAATAGATGAAGTGGTGAAACTTGACCAGTTTAGGTGGTCGGGACATGTGTTACGTGTGCCTAACCACCAACTGCCTCGATGAGCTATGTTTTGTGGTGTAGGAGTAGGTTGGAAGAAAGCTAGGGGTGGCCAAACCGAAACATGGCAGAAATCCATGAAGTCATTGACAAGTGCACTGAGCCATGTCGGTAGTTGTCGACTACCTGGTTGGAGTCCGCCAGATGATAATAATCGATGGTTAGATACCCTGAATGACATGGCTCAAAACCGTTTGCAATGGCGCCGGTTCATTTATTCTCTGTGTTCTCTCAAATCCTAATCTTCTGGATTCGTCAGCACCTCTACCTTTGTCTTTCTAACCTTATCTCACTGAATTATACTTCTTAAATAATATCTTAAAACCCTAGTCTTCTTCATTACCATTGATACCTCTACTCTCTCTAGCACTATGGGATTTGGTTTGACATTTGCGTTTCTGTGCTAATGTGGTATGGCAACCTGAACTATTGTACTTACGTACGAAGTTTTACGTTGCAACTGACTGACTGACTGACTTTAAGTCCAACTGTTTTGGTAGATACCCGAGTAAGCAATGCTGTCGTTAGGAAACGAGTACTAGGTAAGGATGGCAGATCAATAGATGAAGTGGTGAAACTTCATCAGTTGAGGTGGTTGGGACATGTGTTACGTATGCCTAACCACCGACTGCCTCGACGAGCTATGTTTTGTGGTGTAGGAGTAGGTTGGAAGAAAGCTAGGGGCGGCCAGACCAAAACATGGCAGAAATCCATGAAGTCACTGACAAGTGGACTCACTCATGTTGGTAGATGTAGGCTACCTGGTTGGGGTCCGCGAGACGAAAGTCATCAATGGTTAGAGACCTTGAACGACATGGCTCAAAATCGTTTGCAATGGCGCAGGTGCATCCACTCTTTGAGCTCTCTCAAATCCTAATCTTCTGGATTAACCAGCACCTCTACCTTTGTCTTTCTAACCTTGTCTCACTGAATTATATTTTTTGAATAATATCTTAAACCCTAGTCTTCTTTATTATAACATTAATACTCTACCATCTTTATCACTATGGGATTTGATTTGACATTTGCGTCTCTGTGCTAATAATGTGGTATGGCAACATGAACTTATGTACATACGTACGAAGTTCCACGTTGCAACTGACTGACTGACTGACTGTTTTGGTAGATAACGCAATTTATAAGTATTGTTTTATTATTTAATGTGTTATGATTTCTGAAAAGACTGGTTCACTTTATAGCAGCTTTGGATAAAGCCATCAAATTGAGTTTACGGTAGGTGCGTATTTCACTCTAATGAATTATGACCATTGTTTAGTAATACATTTCTATTTTACTCTTACAAGCCTTATATGCACTTGTGATTGACGCCGTAATCAATAATAATTTTAATGTACTATTTAAATGCTTATACTTCATGGGTAAACTCCGTTAAGGTGATTATTTTTGGATAGGTGATCAAATCGATCGACTGATACTCCTTCAGGACGATCTTTAATAATCTAAATCGGTACCTCGAAAATCATATATAGCGAAATTCAGATTAACTGATTTTGCATTCGTGATTTCACCATTTGAATCCAAGTGCTCTATATTTACTGGTATTGTTACAAGTTGGTTAACTCTCAGTTATTCACACCAAAAACCTGTTTATTTTATGGCCGACTTAGCTTTCTCGCGATAGTCTAACCTATTTGGTCCGTATGGACATCGTATCATTTTCTATTTGTAAAGTGATTTTTTCGAATGAACTATTTTGATCAGTAAATCACAATGCTAATCTCACTGTCAAAACTTCCTGTTTAGGCTCAGCGACGTACATTTTCTTCTGTACGAAAACTATTTTACACCTAGTTTAGACTTCAGATTTACACTCGGTCCTAATCGTAGGGACTTGAATGAGTTTTCTATTGCAAGTTCTTGCATAGATATACTGGATGGTTCTTCCGAAATTATGTCAATAGGAAAACATCCACTTCTCAAACTGATTCTCCACGTGTAGCATCAATTTATCGATATTTACTCTTAAGGTCATTTTGTGGTTATTTATTGGCATCATTATGTTTATTACTTAAGTGTATGTCCCCTAGCGAGTTCTGTGTTTTTAACGAAACAAATAATTAACAAGTTATTTTGAAACTGAACGTAAGCATGGCAGCTAATAAAAAGTTTATTATTGCGGACTGTATTCTAATTTTGAAGCAGTAATTAAGTAAAATAGGAACCTATAAATTCCATGCACGAACAGTCTGTGTTACCAATTTTAGTGGCACAAGCATTTATCAGATGTTACATAATCATTTTCCAGTGAACATAGTTTCTGTGGTTTTTCATATAACTAACGCACACCTTGTTTTCATCTTACCACAATTCATACGTTGGTCAAAGATTTTATTTATTTTTAGGTATTGTTTCCGTGCTGTTCTGTGGTGTAACCCAGGCACATTACACTTATAACAACCTATCCCAGGAATCTAAAGTATGGACAAAATCTGTAAGCCTCACGTCTTTTGCCTAATTTTTTAATATATGTATTAAATAGTTTGTAAAATTAGGAAACTATAAATAAGTAACACTGTTTAGGTCCAAATTTCCAATTGTCGAACCCTATAGTAATAATTTTGGTCTAACAATAAGTTGGTAAGGTATGTGCTTTTCATTGTGATCTTCCTTGTCTGTAAACCTATTATTAATAGAGAAAATATAAACAACCTTTACTTCTGACTAGAGCTTTGAACCACATCTGTAACTCTGTTTTCGCATAAAAATTGAATATGAGTAGCATGTTATGGAAAACGAGCTGAGATATACATCATTCATATCTGTTATTGGCATTTTCATACAGTTTCTAAAATTTAGTTTAAATACTTTGCTTTAGAGAAACTTTTTCATAAGCTGGCACTTTCAAAAGATGAAACATTTCATGAAAATGATAACTATTTTGGTCTTTGAAAGTTTGTTTAATATTTTATGAAATAAAGTAAATACACTCAAAACTTTTAATACTCATCATGATGTGTAAAAACCAGATTTATCGATGAAAAAAGTATCCATGGTGCCTATCTGAAATCCATGCTTTAAGCTAATTTTTGGCTCCCATTAATATTTTTCTAACTTCTAGTCTGTAAAAGATTGTATTTAATTCGCTGAATACAAATCCTAAAATATCATGCCATCTAATTTCACTACAAACTTGGTAAGTATCTTATGTACTCCACTAGGTTACAATTTCAACGAGCTTTCAGAAGAACATTGTAACATTCATAACGGTGATTAAAATCTTTGTTCAGAGGCAAAAGCATAACACTGAAACATGAAGTTAGGAATCTGAAAATGTACTTTTGGGAATTGAAAATCGCTGTACACCGCACATATTTTCCGTTACTATTTATTTATTTATTTTGAACTCTTATGAAAAGGCTGCTCGGATATTTGCATCCCTGTTATCTGACAATGACATGAATCTTAAACTTTCGAACTTAGTTGATGTGGATGTGGGCAGGTCTTTCGATTTCGCAAGCAACCGACTAGTGTTATTTTATTAGACACAAACTAAGAGTTGGGTTCTAAAATTGTCGATTGTCAATTCGAAACGCATAGTGGTAGAGGTAGTAGAAGTATTAGCGATAATAAAAAAATATTGGGGTTCGAAGAAATTATTCAAGAAGTATAGTCCAGTGAAATAAATTCAAAAAAAACAAAGATAAAAGTGACGAGTAATTCAGTAGGTTAGGATTTGAGAGGACACAAAGAGTGGATACATTTGTGCCATTGCAAACGACTTTAACTCATCTCACCCAAGGTCTCTAACCATCGGTTACTATCGTCCCGCGGACCCCAACCCCGTAGTCAACATTTGCCGACATGACTCAGTCCAGTTGTCAGTGACTTCATGGATTTGTGCCATGTTTTGGTCTGGCCGCCCCTACTTTTCTTCCAGCCTACTTCTACACTACTTCCATCTGTACTGGAGTCTTGCTGCAGTCAACTTTTTCTCATTGATAACCCTACTGACTGTCCGAAAACGAACTGAAGGGGTAGATAAGGTTGGCTTTAAGAAAAGCTCACATTTCTCCACGTTTTTCCAGCATCACTTATAAGGTTAACAAAGCACTCAGCTGATATAAAAGATTCACAACAAGAAGAATCTATACAACGGGTCATAAGTATTTGTTTTCCGTCATATGTGCCTGTACTGCTAGATCATTTGGAGTATTACTACTAGTTCAGTTTCTCATTCGATTCCCCCAAGAACTAATTTCATTTCACTATGTGAACAATCAGGAAGTGTCAACAAAAACACAATTTTATTATCGGCCGAGACATTAGTTAGAGATAGTATAGGAAATATGTGAATACGTTTTATTTAGCTAGTTGACCTCTTTAAACCAAGTTATAAAGCATTCACCTATTTTGATTTTTTTTTTCTCATTTAGTTCTTTGAACTACTTAACTTCCTGTCGGAAAACTTTGTATTCGCATACATTGGTGTCTCAACGTTTACTTTTCCTCATCATTATTGGGATGTTAGATTTGTATTTATCTCATTATTCTCATGTGTAATTGCTCGGGCAGTCAGCGTATATCCACTTACAGCCCTCATTAATTTCTGCCGAACTTATCACTGTTCCTGTTCTACGAACTGTTTAAAACGAAAGTTTGGTTCTAATTCTCAACTACCCTACTCTAGCGATAAAAATGTGAAGCCTGGATCATCGTTTCTGGCGAACTCAATGGATTTGGGTAATGTTGAAGTTACTTCGAATGGTGACAATCGAAAGAATATATCTAACAAAATCACGTTAAATTTTCAACATATGATATTTTTCTCAGGCCTTCGGGGTGCCATGGCTTTCTCGTTGGCGATTCGCAATACAAGTTCTGAAATACGTCGGATGTTTTTTTCAACAATTATTGTTATAGTTATGACTACGGTGTTATTGGGAGGTTGCTTTGCTATATCGTTACTTCACAGATTGCGGATACCGTAAGTTTTTATGAGTGTATGAGACTGATTTTGAAAACTGTTTGGTGTGCTGTGACTTGCTTGTTCACTTTTAGACACTTAACTAGACTTGAATGTGAACTTCACCAAGTTACCAAATTTATAGCAGATTGCGCTATTTCTTTCCAATAAGTTGAACTGTGAAAACTAGACGCATGTTTTAAATTCCACTAATAGACACTAAGAAACAAACTCTCAATTCATCTGTTCATTTAAAATATTTATCTACTCAGTCCTGGAAATCAACAGGAGAAATCGCCTGTCTTCACTTAAAGTTTCAAAAATTCATCGTGTATAGTTGGTCAGTCAGTTACAACGTAGAACGTCGTACGTCAGACAGACAGACAGATACAACGCAGAACTTCGTACGTACGTGCATCAGTTCGGGTTGCCATACCGCATTAGCACGGAGATGCAACTGCCAGTTCAAATCCAATAGTGATAGCGATAGTAAAAGTATTAGCAGTTATGGAGAAGATTAAGGCATAATTCAATGAGATAAAGTTAGAAAGAGAAAAATAGAGATGATGAGGAATTCAGAAGGCTAGAATTTGAGAGAACGCAAAGAGTGGATGCACCTGCGCCTTTGCAAACGATTTTGAGCCATGTTGTTCAAGGTCTCTAACCATTGGTGACTTCCATCTCACGGACCCCAACCAGGTAGCCTACATCTACCAACATGAGTGAGTCCACTTGTCAGTGACTTCGTGATTTCTGTCATGTTTTGGTTTGACCGCCCCTAGTTTTCTTCCAGCCTTCTCCTACACCAGACAACATCGCTCATCGAGGCAGTCGGTGGTTGGTCACACATAACACATTTCCTAATCACCTCAACTGGTGAAGTTTCATTAATTCATCCACTGACCTATCATCCTCACGTTGTACTGGTTTCCCAACAACAAAATTCCTTACTCGATTGTCCCAGGATATATAAGCAATGCTTCGAAGTTACCAATGATCAAATACCCTGATTTCTCTTGTCTGCTCTTCACGAGCTCTAGTTAGGCATCTAAGTATAATGGGGGCTAACATTTTGGACACGATATTAGTTAAACTGGTTCCTCTGCGACGTTTGTCCTTTCTTATAGATCGCGACAATCAGTAATTGGGACCACTCAGATAGGATTACATCCAGTTCCCGAACTCTACTGAAGATCTCAGTGAGTCTCATTTCTAAAACTGGACCACTATCAGAGCCTGCTGCTCTCGCTTTAGATTTCCTACAGCCTTTTCAACTTCCTAACAGGTTAGAGAACGTACATCAACTTGCCATTCAGGTTGACTGGAGATCGTGGTTAACTGAATTGTGACTGAAGGCTAGCTGGAATGATCCTTGAGATGTTCAATCTATTGGCTTAATCTTCTGGATTAAGAATGAATAATAAGACCATCGTTTCCAAAAATAGTTTCGCTTCCAGTCAGATTACTGATTCCGGTTTCCGTGATAAGTCTGAGCAGTTGTCTATTGTTCCCTGTCGCCGTTGCTTTTTCCGTCGCTCTTGCTTTTTCTACCCACCACTGTTCGCGATTATTGCGTAGGCTATTTGCTAGCCTGCGCTGATGCTGGCTCTGCTCCTCATCGTACTCAGAGCTAGACGGGATGGGTTTCTGTATATCTTTCAGTTGGCTAGATGCTAATGAAATCCACTGTTTTTCCCTAACCTTATGGTTTGTCTTACTGGTAGATATCATTGCTGTTTCCAAAGCTTCAGGAATATCATTTCAAGCTGCCTCGAGGTGCGCATAACTTGTTACCTGGTTGCTTAACTGCTTCTCTTGTTGTTCCAGAGATATATTCTTAGCTTTGCTATCATAAGGTAGAACCCTAGGAGGTTTGCTTTTGGAGCCTTTCCTTCAACCAGTGAGCCTCAAACAAATACGCGCTCGTGCTAGAGCATTATCTGAATCCAAACATGTGCCCCAGAACAAGCAGCAGTTTTCAATGCAACATCTCCATCGGTGGCTGATAGCGATATGATCTAGTTGGGTCCATCGTCTGGTCGGCTTTGGGGGTCGCCAGGTCGAGAGACGTTTTTCCTCATGCCCAAAGTTAGCGTTTGGTAGAAATAGACGATTATCTAAGCATAGTTGAAGTAGACGATTGCCATTACCTTATCTTTGAGCTGCGACACCATGAGATCCACCGAGGCGTCTATCCTTTCCGCTTAGTCTACCTACTTGAGCGTTAAAGTCACTAGCCATTATTACTATATCAGAGCGCCTAACATTTTGAAGAAGGTTAGGTAGGTTTCAGTAAAACTCATTTTTTATCTTGTCTGAACTGCAATCAGTGGGAGCACAGGCAGATACGCCGTAGGGGCAACGGCGAGTTTCCCTATCTTTCCGAATCCTTACTGTCCCATTCAGTTGGACAGAGCATAAATGACTGTCTACCGGGATCCAGTGTAAGAGATCTAGTTCTGCCCTATGACTCAATGCTATACCTTGACCAGCGAGGTGACGGGAAGCAGCTACAGGTCCTTTAGATAAACAGGGCGTGAACGGGGTTGCTTCTTTATGTGAACAAGGTGAAGTTAAATTAATTATTCTACTATCACGCTGTGTTTGTGTTTAGGAGACGCAGCATACATCGATGGCGCGAGATCCTAAATTCCCATCTAAGGAAGCCTGTTATCCCAACTGACACAATGTCCGTACAATAAATGCTCCAACATGTAGTTTAGGACAGGGTTTCAGGATACTCGAATCGTTTGCATTAGCGTTGCAAGGTAATAAAGGATTTGGAGATGGGTAAATCGTAGAGATTAGAGAGATGTTAGGGGGTGTAGGAGGGATTTGATTGCGACTAGTTTGGTCTCGTGTGCTGTTACGGCTATGAGGGCGGCTGTCACTTCCCGGTCGCCCGCATTGTGGAAGGGTGTTTCTTGAGGAACCTGGAAAGGAAGTTGGTTTGGTGTTGGTGTTAGAGACCTGGAAGCGTGACCACAGAGCCCAGCGGACAATTGCTTGAGGCTGGTCTCTCACGGTCTTTTTATGAGACGTTTTGGTATTGTTGGCTACGCTCTTCAAACGGCCTTACTGCCAGAGACGGAAATCCGTGGGATAAGATGAGGTTCCACATTGTTAGTGTCGACCTTTTCTAACCCTTCCTTCCTTGTGAGAAGGCAGCATGGCTGCAGATGCTGGTTGTCCGAGAGAAACAACTTACTGCTGTCATATATATATACATATATATATATATATATATATATATATATATATATATATATATATATATATATATATATATATATTTGATCACAAGCTTTCATAACGAATAGCAGATGTCCAAAAAATTTTTTCAAGTGATCACTACACTGAACTTCGGTATTTCAGTAGCTATTCACTGATTTTTACGCTAAACTATAGAATTCTGATTCACTGACTTGGGTTTGATTGTGTTCAAACACAGTTGTGAAATATGTTGAATCGAATTATAAAATTTATGGGGTTCTTGTCGGATTTTTTTATGAAGATGTAGGGTTTAAATTATGTAACTGAAAGCAGTTTTGTTCAATTATTTATGCCCATATTTACAATATGGGTTTTTCTAGTATCTTCATATTATCAATGGTTTTTCGTACTCCAGTTTATTTAATTAGCAATTCATTTTTGTAAAAATATTAATAATTTCTGTTTTATGGACTAATATCAAATACTAATTAGATTGTTTTCCTTTTCGCTTATGTTTAGTATTGGCGCAGAGTGCAACAATAAAAATCAAGTAAGTCATGTAAAATCAATCTTTTGCCCTGAATGTTTGATTTCCTTACTTTAAGCTTGTACATATGAGTTTAGATAAGATTGTAATTCACACTGGAAACCAGTAAAAACTAGTAATAAGATAATCTTAAATTATTAAAGATAAAAACTTATTTATTAAAAAGGAATGATTTTATGGTGAGTTGTATGGTTTGATGTATGTAGATGTCATTCAGTTGGATTTTATTGTATTTGTTTAGGATATTCTTTGCTTCCAATCTGCGGATGATTCGTCATCAAAGCTTAATAGTTCGTAACTGAGACTTTTTTGAAATTGATCTGGATGACTTAATTATGGTTAAGGTCTTCCTGTTGTTTAAATTTACTTAAGTTGTGACCCTTAAAAATAATTGTATGTGCAACTTCTAGGATATTATGATTTCTTCGTGAGGAATTTCTCAGAGTTCTTGTGAGAAGTCGTGACCAGTGGAGTTCAATCATGTAGGATGTGAAGCAGTTACCAGCCGAAGACAGTGGGTGATGATCGCACAATATCTTGGATTGGATGCTGGCTCAGTAATCAAAAGGTTAGGTGTTCACGCACGAGAACGGAGATCCTGGGTTCAATTATCGCTTGTAGGATGGTGGATGAGCACTGCTGCTGAGTCTCATACTAGAACGAAACGGCCATCTAGTATTCCCAGGTTTCAAATGGTGGTCTGACATTGACGGATTCATGATTTCAATGAAACTCAACAATCTACTAGTCTATCCGACTTTTCATAACAAGGCCTATAGTTATTGTTTTTATTTTAATGGTATATCACTACTATGATGCTTGTTCTTTTTAGCCGCATACAGATGTGGACGAAGATGCGGTTGAAGACCAAAGTTGTTGTAGTTCTCGTTGGATGAATTTTGACAAATTGTAAGTATACCTTTCTGACTTTGTTAGTTGCCCTAGTTTCATTGAATGACTTGTTTTATGTTTCATTCTGAAAGAATAACTTCTTTTTTTGGTTTCGACATTATTATAATGGTATGTTGTGATTGGTCATTTCCTCCGACTAAATGTGTCAAATCATTGTGCTGGATTCTTTATTTTGACGCTTTATAAAAGTTAAACCTTGTACTACTCGAGTCCTTTTTGGTACCTTCAGAATTAAATGACTGGTCAGCCTATTGAAAAAATTCTTATGTGATTACCAACTTTCGTCTCCTTAATTATTCCCTAAATTTAATGTCTTACCTTTTGTTGAAAGTTATTTTCTGATCGGTCGCTGACTCAGAGATTCGCGGTAAAAAAGCCAAGAGTACCATCAAAGATACTTTCTTAAGACCTCACGATACATTGTATTTACAAATATCCAATACATTTTGACCTATTTTAATGTTACAACTAATATGCTTTAGATAATATTAGTTAGTCTCATCTTTCACTTCCCGTTAAATTTAATTCATTGGAGTTTTTAGTGAAACGGAAATGAAAATCGAAAGTTGTTCTAAGAACATCTTATTCTTTATATTCTGTTTACTGATTTGTGAATTAATTATCATTTTACGTCGGAAGTAATTTCGTTAAAACTCTTTTGTTTCACAAATGTGTATGCTAAAAGTAATACCTATGCAAATGTAGATTTTGAGTTGCATTTGATTTCGTTTCATCATTGTGCATAAAATTCGTTTAACGACTGATTTTCAATGATCAACGCACAAAAATGATTTTTCTTTAATGCGGTAGCAGTTTATTTTACGACTTTTATCAATGAAAATTAGTAAATATGATTTTCTCGTTGATATTTAGTAATGAGAATGAATTAGATTGATCACTAAATGGTACCAGACAGGAATTCAGTCTGCTAACTGTTAAACGTGATTTCTGATATAGTATGATATAGTCTGTGTAAAGCGGACCGTTGGAGTATTTAATCGGGTGTAATGTAAATTTAGTCACCCGGTCTGGTTTTATAATCTTTTTGTGGTAATATCCCATTCAATGAAGAGAAGTGCTTTGTTGTATGCTTTACATCACTTGTCGTCTTGAATAATGTACCACTTAGTGGAATAATTTTAATTATTGTATAACCGTAGATAAAGTGTGCATCATTCGATTCTTTTTGTATTTCGTTATGTCATAAATCATTAAAAATAAATCAATCAGTTGATAAGACGATAATCATTAGAGGTTTATGGAAATTATTCAATCTGACGTTTTTTGACGTTACAGATTGACTTCATCTTAACAACCATTTGACAATTAGGGAGCATTAGTCAGTTGTTTCGTCCTCATTTAGGATTCTCCAGGAGTTGCATACCCAGCACTTCCGGTAGTTGATCTTGGGACCAAAGAAATTGTAATGGGTGATTTACATACTAACCAAGCATTTGTTACCCAATACTCTGTGATATAAGCTATTGCGATTTCTTAAAAAATTTCAATAGAGTCACGTTCAAAATTGGTTAGAACATCTTAGGTTATTTGACATTAGATTGTTATGTGATAATGAAATATCACTGAATTGTAATTAGCGTTAATTTTCTACTTTTTGCAGCTATTTGAAGCCATTACTTACACACAGCACTCCACCATTGACCCAATCATTACCATCATATTGTTATAAATTTGCCAAATTACTTACAACTATCGAACAGAGAAGTGAAACATTTGTCAATAATGATGAAGGTAACAGTTGTATTGATAAATTTAAAAGCGACAGTACCACTATATTTTTCTCTAATGAAAAGGCATCAATCAGTTCTACACTCGATATGAACACTGTTAAAGTACAGCCTGCAGAAGTAAGCATGTTTTCTGATTTTGTTTTGTAATAAAAAGTTGTCTTACAAATTTTACCGTTAGAATAAAATGATTTACATTCGGGTGATTTAACAGGTGAACAACACAATATTGTAATATATGTATATATACATGAGTCAGCTAGAACGTAGAATTTCGTGCCTACGTACATCAGTTCAGGTTGCCGTACCACATTAGCACAGAAATGCAATTGTCAATTCAAATCTCATGGTGGTTATATATATATATATATATATATATATATATATCATCACACTTATCAAGCAATACAACTTAATTTCCAGTTTTTTCACTCAGTTTCTCTTTTTCCTTAATTGTAATAAAGAAAATAGACTGATTGCACCATAAATATTCCCTTTTTTGTTATGGATGGATAATATAATTTGTAGGCTTTTTTCGGAATTTGCTTACGAAACTTATTTGCACATCGCAGCCTCTTCAACGGTACAGCTTTGATTTTTCGTTTGTGATTATTATGATTATTATTAAAATCTATTCAACAAAGTGCAGATCATTTGATTAACACCATCATAAGTCTCCAACATTGACGGTTTATTTTTCTGAAGTGTTTGAGTTTAATATAAATGCATAATTGTTTCATTTAGTGTTGTCCACACTTTTATAATTAGTAACTTATGTTTAAATTCATTAGTGTTTATCAAAAAATTATTAATCTCAGATTTAATTAGTACCCAAAATTATGTAAATTAACTATATTCAAGAAAATTTTAATTGCAGTAACTGTTACTATACTGTTACTATACTTGAAAATATTACGTATTATTCAAATAATAAACTGAACTTTGATACATCACAATTATTAAAAAAAAATAAATATCATATGCGTGTTAAAGGTTGATCTTATCAGTTTTAAACTTAGTGATTAAGCACAAAATATGTTTATTGTTTAAATTCTTTCTTCTTAAATTTACTATCTAAACATAAAATTTAACTATGGTATCAATTCTAGATACGCAAAATGGCATTAATTATATTTAAATGTTCACGTATTCACAATTTTTTCTTCAATAAACTCAGCCTTTTCAAATTAGTTACTTTTGCCTGTTATCTCTAACGGATCGTAGGCCTCTGACCAGCATTCTCCAACCAACTCTGTCTTCGGTCTTTTGTTTCAATTCTACCCAATCGCTGTTCATTCTTTTGATGTTTGTTTCCAATTCACGGCCTAATATGTTCTTTGTCTTTCTCTTTTATTTTGGCCATGAGGATTTTAAGTTAGCTTTTGCCTTGTGATGCAGTTGGATGCTTTCCTCAATGTATGTGCTATCCACCTCCAGTGCTTTTTCCTAATTTCTTCCTCAGCTAGAAATTGGTTACTTCTCCCCACAATTGGTTATTTCTGATGGTGTCTGGCTTACTGATCCTTAGTTTCTTGCACAGATAACTGTTAATAAACACCTGTATCTTGAGGATGATAGCTTTCGTATTTCTCAAAGTTTCTGCTCCATAAGATAGAATAGTTTTGACGTTCGTACTGAAAACTGTGACTTTGGCGTTCGTTCAATGTTGTTTTTGAGTCCTAGATATTCTTCAGTTGTAGAAATACTACCCTTGCCATACCAGTCTCCACCTTCACATCTGCATCAAATCCACCTTGCTCATCAATGGTGCTGCCCAGATATGTGAAGGTTTTCACTCCTTTCAATGCTTCCTCATCAAATGTGATTTGATTGGTTCATGTTGTGTTGTACCTAAAGATCTTCCTTTTTTCCTTGTTCATGTTGAGACCGACTGTTGCAGATGCTGTTGCTACACTGGTCATCTTCTGCGGCATTTGTCGTTGTCTATGGGATCGAAAGCCTAAATTGTCTGGAGAGACTAAATCGTTCAGCTGCATCGGAGTTGTCCAATATATCCGATGCTTCCACTGAATTGATGACATCTTCAGAATCCAGTCAACTATCAGGAGAAAGAGAAAAGCTTAGTGTAAGCAACCTTGTCTGCACCGGGCTTCACTTTAAAATAGTCTCTCAGCTGTCCTCCATGCATGATTTTATTCCATCTTAGGAATTCCGTATGATGTTGACTATATTTTAAGGCACACCATACTGTTATTCTATACACGCTGTTGAATACTTTCTTGCAGTCTAACAAGTTGATGTGCACTAATGAATTCCACTTAGTTGGTTGTTCCAAAATGACCCACCGTGTCGCAATTTACTCGGTACATAATCGATCCTTACGGAGTTTAGCCTGCTGATCTCGAATTCAGGCGTCTACTGACTATTTCATTTAATTCAACAACACCCTATTGAAGACATTTCCTAGTGTAGGTAATGGAGTGATGCCTCTGTAGTTCTCACACTTGCTGAGATCTCTCTGTGGTATCTTTATGAGGTGGCCTTCTCTCTTTTTTGATGAATCTCATTAAATGACTGTTTTCAGAAACTTCAGTAAAATAGTGTGATTGTAAATCTAAAGTGTAGTAGACCATCTCTTAGTAATATCATTATTTCGATAAGCAGTAAGTTGCTACTTTTTGTCCAAGGAGTACTAACTTAAATAACCAAACACTCACTGTCATATATATATATATATATATATATATATATATATATATTCTAGTGACAGTGGTGTAGATTCCAATCCTTATCTATATAAATTCAGTTGTTTCAATTAGATTGTTATTTTTTATTTCTCTTTGACTTTATTATTCCTTTTGAAAGTGTGTGGAACTCATTCAACTCGATAGCGATACTGACGACATAATTATTAGTGACAATAATAATAGTACTAATAATAAGTTTGAGGTTAGTTCTGCTCTCACCGTAAACAAACTGCTTTATTATTTTCGGTTTACTACTTTTCTCATTCTATATTTTCATTCATTATGGTGATCTACCAGGCTGTGCTAGCATGCGAATCCTTGTACATAATATATAGGTTTTTCCTTTTCATGATTAATACAAACAGTGCTTTTGTGCACACAAAAGAATTGATGAAAAATTACATTTTTATAATTTGTACCTTTTCTGCTTATATGGATATGCAAATTTTAAATTTTCAGTTTAACTCTATCCACTACTGCTACTCGTGTGTTTGTCATACACTGCTAACTTTCTAGTTTCCGTTTTATTGTTATAATTATTCCGACTTTTGTTTGCTGGTACTGTGGATAGTTTCTACTTAGGAATCACTATCTGGACATAGAATTTTAATTTCCAAAAGATCTTAAGTGTATATTTACATATATAAATAACAGTAAAATATTATGAGCTCATAAAAGTACATGTGTAAATCGGAGAATTTCGCTTTTTCCTTTATGTATGTTGAGACCTACTGCTGCAGAGGCTGCTGCTACACTGGTCGTCTTCTCTTGCATTTGTTGTTGGGTGTGCGGTAGAAGAGCCAGGTCGTCTGCGAAGTCCAGATCGTACAGCTGCGTCCTAACTGTCCAGTTGATACCGTGCTTCCCTCCAGATGTCGACGTCTTCATAATCCAGTCGATCACCAGGAGAAAGAGAAAGGGTGAGAGTAAGCAACCTTGCCTTACACCGGTCTTTACCTCAAAAGAGTCTATCGGCTGACCTCCGTGCACGATTTTGCAGTTGAATCCATCATAAGAATTCCGTATGATGTTGACTATTTTCTCAGGCACCCCGTAGTGTCGAAGAAGCCTCCATAGTGTTTTCCTATCCACGCTATCGAATGCTTTCTCGTAGTCGATGAAGTTGATGTAGAGTAGTGAATTCCATTCAATTGATTGTTCCACAATGATCCGTAATGTAGCAATTTGGTCAGTACACGATCAATCCTTACGAAATCCGGCCTGTTGATCTCGAAGTTGAGCGTCTACGAAGTCCTTCATTCTGTTTAACAATACCCTGTTGAAGACTTTGCCTGGTATTGAGAGAAGAGTGATGCCTATGTAGTTCTCACACTTGCTGAGATCGCCTTTCTTTGGTATTTTGATCAGGTATCATTCTTTCCAATCTGATGGTACTTGTTCCTCATCCCAAATCTTCTTGAAGAGAATGTGAAGTATTTCTGCAGTTGTTTCTACATCTGCTTTCATTGCCTCTGCTGGAATGTTGTCTGGTCCTGCTGCTTTGCCACTCTTGATTTGTCTGATGGCCATACTGATCTCTTCAGTTGTTGTTGGGCTAACATTGATTGGGAGGTCCGTAGATGCTGCTTTGATGTTGGGTGGGTTCAGTGGAGCTGGTCGATTCAAGAGATACTTAAAGTGCTCTACCAACCTATTTCGCTGTTCCTCAGTGTTGCTGATTACTTTGCCTTCCTTGCTTTTCACTGGTCTTTCTGGTTTACGATAGTTCCCGGCGAGCTTCTTTGTTGTTTCATACAATTGTCTCAAGTTTCCGTCTCTTGCAGCCTTTTCCGCCGTCATTGCTAGATCTTCCACATATTTTCGTTTGTCAGCTCTGATGCTCTTCTTCACTTCCCTGTTTGCTTCTTTGTATGCAGCTTGTGCGGTAACTTTCTCTGTTCTTGTTCGGCTGACGATGATTACTGCCTTCTTGTTCCTCCTTTCTTCAATTTTTGCAAGAGTACCAACAGAGATCCATTCCTTGTGATAGTGTTTCTTGTGACCCAGAACCTTCCGACATGTTGAAGTAATTGCCTCCTTTATCCCTTTGTCTGTCCCGTTGTCCAGTGCTTCTTTAGTTTCAGTTTCATTTTGGCGATCAGCTAATGGTGATCTGAGGCTATATCAGCTCCTCTCCTGGTTCTCACATCCTCCATGGTCCTTCTGAACTTTTTGTTGATACAGATATGGTCGATTTGGTTCTGAGTAGTGTGGTCCGGTGAAATCCATGTGGCTTTTGTATGCGCTTGTGCGGAAATATTGTGCCACCGATGACCAGTTTGTTGCAAATCTCTCACCGTTTTCGTTTCTTTCTCCCAGTCCATGTCGTCCCATGATGTCTTCATATCCAGTGTTGTCCATTCCAACCTTGGCATTCAGGTCTCCCATAAGAATCGTCAAATCCTTTGGTGAACATTTCTCGACGATTGACTGCAGCCTTTCGTAGAATTGTTCTTTAACGTCGTCATTGTAGTCATTGGTGGTAGGTGCATAGCATTGGATGACGTTCATTGTAATGTCCTCTTTCTTTGTTTTAAAGGATGCTTTAATGATCTTGGGTCCATGAGATTCCCATCCTATCAGTGCCTTTTGTGCATGTTTGGACAGCATCAGTACAACTCCTTATGTATGTGAAGCATTTTCCTCTTCATGACCAGAGTATAACAGCAGTTTCCCTGAAGCTAGTCCCAGTTTTCCTACCTGTGTCCAATGCGTTTCACTGATGCCGAGCACCTCGAGGTTGTATCTTTTCATTTCTGCTGCAACTTGAAATAGTCTTCCAGTCTCCCACAATGTACGAACGTTCCATGTGCCTAAAAGAATGGTTGCTCTGGTTGTGAGAAGAGGCGTCGGCCCTGTGACTTCCGAGGGAACTCGGCTTTCCTGACGCGACGTCATAATTGTTCTTGCAACTCCCAGGGCAGAGTTAAAATGGTTTGAATTATTTGTTCTGGTTAGCGTTTTTTTGGCAAGTTGGTTTTTGACGGAATGGGGTCGCCAACTCCATATCCAACCCTCCTCCTTTACCCGGGCTTGGGACCGGCAGTAGCCCCTAAGGTTCTACTGGCGGAGTTACACTCGCGTCATATACTACTTATAAGTAGCGCGCACCACACTATATCTATTCAGCTCGCGAAGTATGGTCATTGTACAAGTTTTGGGTATTTATCTGCCTATAATACTTATTTTTATAATTAGAGTTATGGAGTTTATTGTTTTTAGACATTCAAATCATCCATTGAAAAAAATCATAAAATATGCTCATTATTGACGGCCGTCCAATGCGTTCAGGTTTCTAATGGTGGTCTAACAATGATTGATTGATTGATGTTTTCAATGTGTATAATACTTATGTTTTTATGTATGTACAAATTATCTGCATAATGATCTGAGAATTATCTTGAATTATTCATATTTTCATTGTTGATAATTAATAACCATTGATTTATTGATTGGAAAAAATCCAACGATTGTTAATCCTTGTAATGTGAAAATGTTCCCTTAAACTCGGCATCCTGAATTACACACTAAAGAAAATTGATCTTGCTAGTAGTATGTTGATTAACTAGTCATTTATTTTTTCATTTCTTGCTATGATACTTTTATTCTCTTATAAAATCTTGCTATGACGCGAATCTTTTCTTTGATTCCATTGTTCTTGTTGCTTTTTTGTGTTTTGTTTTCCAGTTGTTTATACCATATAAATATTTCATAATAATGGTTATGCTGTATAATCACTTTATTCATTTATTCCTCTTTTCAAACAGACACACACACAAGCACTTGTCTTAGCAAATAATTCCGTTTGTTATTATTATTCATAGTCAAACAGCTTACGCCCATCTAAACATTGTGAAATAAATTGTTTTTTTTGTCATAAATAATCAATAAACAAAATTATCCTTTATATATGCCTAATAAAAAGGTGCATTATATACATGAAATTGGTGAGCAATTTTCATACATAAAAATTAAGTAGAAAATTCTAATATTATCACAAAAAATTCAGCAAGCACATTTCATTCTACATATGACTCAGTTAGCTGTATTTACTTGTATATCTCTACCTTAAATTCTTTAACAATAAATCAAAAGCAACAATAACGAATTCCTAATGAGTGTTCTTCACGTATTTGTAATATCTCGGGTTAGTTCTAACACAATTTACTTGTCGACCATGGACAGTTGTAATTTACTTATTCTATAATTTTGAATTTCGATTATGAAAAGTGTTTTTTTTCTGTAGATAATGTGTCTAGTGCTTAGCTGGAATCTAGCAATAACAACTACTAAACCTAAAGATAACAATCTAAATGATTTGATTTATTTTTCTTACAGCGATGTATCTAGTTAAAACTTATCTAACTTGGTAAAATTGGATTTTTATAGGAATAAAAATTTAAAAATTATATTTCATGGTTAACTGAATGCATCTTTTGCACAGAATTCCAATAAATTTTGTTTATATGCTACTCATTCACCAACTTAAATTAGTTGTGGTGTAGGCAATATATTCTTTTTTCCCAACTAAAGGACAAGTTTACTGTGCAGCGGTTCACTACTTCCCCTACTACTATGAGATTTTCCCTAAAAATTTCATCTCCCAGCGTTAATTGGATTTAGAAACTTGAACCTTTGTATCAGACTTTACTTTGTATATAACTGACTGGTTAACATTTAATAAGTATAGGTTTCGAGTCGCTCTGGTTGTTTCAGGACCAGTAATGCTCCCCGACCGTCGAATCCGAATTAAGTAGTGTATGTCTTAGACCCATGAATCATCGATTGAGTCTGACGATTTAACATTTAAGGCATGGACTTATATATATACGAACTGTTATTTAGGCAATACACATGTGACTGTGGACCAAATTTAAACCTGTCATATAGTTTTTCATTGTATCCCATAGTGACTTTTGCGAAAGGTTCGAAAATACTGGAGAAAGGTATAAATTTCCGTTGATGTAAGGTTTTAGAATTGTGTAGACTGATGACAATCATTGATTATTTAAACCAAAGCTACACCTTCAAACCCTAGGTTGCATAATAGTAGTACCTTGATCTACTTACTTTGGTTTAAACACTTAGATAATATCTTTGGTTCTCTCATACAGATTGAGTGTAAAGAGGTCAAATGGATGAACGTGCACTTGGTGGTTGAGTTAGGTTAACACATAACACACAGACGTTTTTAGTTGTTGCCAAAATCCACTTGTTTATTGCATAGCAAATAGTGAATACCAATTTGCTTGACTTAGGTTGTTTATTTTATCTCTGTAAATTAATAATCTCCTAGATTTACCCTTAATTTTTAGCTGTCAGTTGCTTTCAGTTTTTTGCTTCATTTTAAAATTTATCCTTTTAAAAATTAACATATCAATAAGTAATGGTCCTATGAGATAATATTTAACTTGATACTGACCTTTTCTTGTGAAGTGACAATTCCATCTCTGTACTAGTGTGGTATTGCAACGTGAACTGATGTACGTACGTACGAAGTTCTATGTTGTTGTTGTTGACTGACTGACTTTATTTCTGTCACTTGTATTTTCCTATGAATATCATTTGACGGTCAACATATACAAATCAGAAAGTCATCATTTTAATTGTTTTTTTGTCATTTATTTCATAACTTTCCACTAATATACAATGTTGTCAGAATTCACGTTACAAGTGATATGTCACTACTAGTATAATATCTCAGTCTTTCAACTAATGATTGGATTTTCAACTCTGTCAATAATCAGCTGCTTTTGCTTTCGACATTGTTTTTTTTGCGATAACTATTTTTTTTGTATGAATATTGTAGAAACAGTCTACTGTAAAACTTCTGCTTTGTGTTGATTGTGTATGGTTTAATTAATTTGTATAAATTACTTATGTGTTATAGATAAGATTCTTCAATGTAATGATTAATCTATAATAAAAGATATATCATACCTTTTTATGTAACCCTGTGTGACAATCAAAATCAAATTAATAAAAGACTTGTCAAAATTATATGCTTCGAAGTAAATATTAATAAAAATAACTCCACATATTTCTTAAATCAAATTCTTCTATTTTTGGTTTACTCAACCAAAACTGTTGGTGATTTATGTTTAAATATAGCTCACTGGTTTAAGTCTTTCATCGCTTAAGCATAAAATCATGATTAAGACAGTGGAATAAGATACGCACTATAACCTAAACAGTAATAAGAGAAAGTTGAATTGGTTCATTGTATATATGATTCTTGAGTTACACTATTTGTAATCGATATTGATTAATTGTGCTTAACATTTCATGCTTTTATTTTGTGTAATTGTAAACTATGTCGATTATTGCATCGCCTTATTTTCGCTCTATAAGTTTCCATGTCTTTACGAAGGTGTACACAACTACTTTTTTTCCTCTGACTGTTTTTATTGATTTCACAAATTTACATTATAATTTCATTAGATTTCTTACCAACCTGAACGCATTTTATGCTCTGATATGATGCTTTGTAACAGTAATGTGTGTGTGTGCTAATTTCTCAGAGTTCTATTATTACAAAATAATATAATTGATTGTTTAATATGAAAATGTATCTGTATCCTTAATGTATTGGATTTTAATTTAACCTGTAAATGACCTTGTTTAGTTTAATTTTTAAAAAAAAACAAGTTTATCTTTCTTTTTTTTTCTTTTAGCTTAACGATGCAAAGAATTTTCATGATCCACTCTATTTCAATGAAGTTATGTAGATAAAACTATTCATTGAATTATGAACAATAATGAAAAAGTGACGCTGATAATTATCACCATCATTATGGTTGAAAAGAAATTACTTTGTTGTGATCAATGCATTTTCTTTCCTCATTGATTCTTTACTATTTCACAATCTGTTAAATTTGATTATCCATGACTGAGAAATTCCATTTATATGTCTTTATTTAGTCAATACATAAATATGAACAAACATATTATAATAGAGAGAGAGAGAGAGCACTAATCCACATTTAATTAGGACAAATACTTTGAATAGTAGAATTATGATATATGCTTGCATAAAGTATGTTTTAATTTGTTTGTTTGTATTTATTGTGTTTCTGTGTTAATTTAAAACTATTAATCTGATCTTTTTTTTTGTCTTGATTTTAAATTCTTTGCATACATTCTTTTTTCTTTTTTAAACACCACTGTTACATCTGCTGCTAATGAAAGTGAGATATTTATTTTTTTTTTGTTTGTTTAAAGCAAACACTGTATGGGTTTTCACAACTAAGTTTTATTCTGTGATTCATTCATTTCATTCCATAGATTAGAAGAACTTAAAATAGATAAAAAGCATCATCATATGTTACATTCATTTTGTTTGTTTCATTTTATTGATGTAAATATTGTTTTTTGGTGTTGTTATTAATTTTCATTTACGAATCATTAATTACACATTTGTAATATTCTTTTTGGAATATTATTTTTGTATATTTTTTTGCTTGTTCACTAGTTCCCACTGCATTGAATCATTACTAGTGATAATTTTATTTTATTGAAATATTCTCATGAGCTGTGAAAATAAGATTCTATTGTACTTTTTAACTTAATGTTCATATGTGAATGCATGTATCATTTACTAAATCTCTACTTGAAATTTTGTGCACTTAAATGTGGAGTACATAGTTGTTGGTTACTCGATTAGCGAGTAATCAATAAATTCTTTCCAACTAACTTATAAATTGAGATTCTATTTATTCACTTTCAGTTAGTTCTTTGAACAATAAGAAAATAAACTGTCACAGTATTCTGTTTGATATCCTTTTTAAGTATGCTTTAATATTCACCGACCGTAGCTGCTACCTTGACGTGGTGGTCGGGCTTGCCTGTTGGGATGACCACACCGAGATTTATTGGATGGAACAGGTGTTGCTGTATGTTCTACCATGCCAGGCTGGTCGATTGGAGGACGGTGAGACTAAAAGCACTAACTCATGGTCTTAGGGCAAAGTCATACTGCTGACTGTAGAGGGGCGTGACAGCATTAAGTTGTTTCTCTCGGGCAATCACCATCTGGAGCCATGCTGCTTTCTCGCAAGGAACGAAGGGTTAGAAAAGGTCGACACTAAAAATGTCGAACCTCATCTTATCCCGCGGATTTCTGTCTCTGGTAGTAAGATCATTTGAAGAGCGTAGCTAACAATACCAAAACGTCCCATAAAAAGACCATGTGCAATTGTCCGTTGGGCTCTGTGGTTATGCTCTCAGGTCTCTATGGCCAACACTAATGCAACTTAGTTTTCAAGTTCCTCAAGAAACACCCTTCCACAATGTGGGCAACCGGGAAGTGACATCCGCCCTCATACCAGTAAGAGAACACTCGAGATCATTAATAATTACCTGAATTGCATCATTCGTCTAGGTGAGGTAACTTCATTTTTGAAGTGTTGGACTTCCTGTTATTGGATAACTGCTTGAATTTCTATTCCACTTACTTCAGCTCAAACAACTAGATAGTATATTTAGTGTTTCTGTAATTAAGCATAACTTGAAGTTTATCTAATTAATAGGTTACTTTATCAGTGGGTCAGATGAAAATCAGTTTTTTTTCGAAGTTTTTACAATCATACTGCTATTTGTTTTCTGATATTTGTATTTCAGATGTCTACTGTTGGAATAAATGTTTATCTTTTATAAGACTGGTATACTTAATTTGATTACCACCTTTAATTCTCGTAAATTGTACACTGAAGAACATGCACTTCATTAAGTATTATTAGATATTGGAGGATTCAACTCTTGTTTAAGACTTAAGCATTTATTTAAAAAAGTAGCTATTGAATTCGCAGTAAGTTACACACGGCAAAGCAAATTGTCAAGTGTTTTTCCAACATTCTCTTATATGGCTGTTACTGCTGTTTTAATAACATGAAGTCATCATGTTACGCATAGTTTTATTTCTGTTTAGATAGTATTTGTGCTCGAATGAACGATTACTCGCTAGAACTTTTTACAGAACTATTTACAGAATTTACGTATTACAATGACTTCATTTGTTGTATATGATATGGTAAATCTAGTACTTTAAGGGTGGATCAGAACTTAAACTAATGATTTATTATTAAGAAGAATGAGCTTTAATCGATTCATTTTAGGGTCACCACACCGCAAGTTGCGATATAATAAACTTCACTTTATGGATTAAATGACCTGTTAGTTGTCAACGTCTATATACAACACTAAAATGACACAATCATCACATATTACCGAGCAGATCTTTAAGGCATTTTGGCCTTATTCTCTTATTTGAAAGACATGCAAATAAGTTTGAAGTAGTGGAATAGAAACTATGTTCATCATCTTGTCACAGTATAGAAACGTCAGTTGATTTAATATTCCGACGATGGATGCTGATGACAGCAACTAAATTCTGTTTACTTTCGTTTGAAACTATTTCTTTTCAGCATTAACTTACTCAACAAAAACACTATCATAGTTACGATTTTCTGTGCTTTTACTAAAACTAATGATATGGATTGAATATTTATCTGTGTAAATATTTTCATTGTACATGCATTTTGTTCTTGAATTTAATATAAACATGTTTTCGGCCTCTATGTTATTGTTGATAAGTTTAATAATGCAGATCTATGCACAATTTTAGTTTTTTTCTAATCATTTTAACGGTTTGTATACAGGATTTTTGCTACTCGATTAATGAGTAATGCATTAAGTAACTCAATTCGAATGTAAAGATTTCGTTTCTGGTATTCTAATGAAATTCAAATATATCGTTAGTTTTAATTGCTGCTTTTGAAATTATTCATTCTAATGTATCATGATTTTGTATAAGGCATCTGAAAATGCCAAATTTTAATTAATTGTGCTTCATGAATATAACAGATGTGACATACTAGAAAAGAAGATTGTATCTCTCCATGATTTCCTGATTTTCAATGGCTATAATAAAATCAAATAACTTTATGCTTAACATAATCTGCTGTAGCCACGGTCCTATTGCTAATGCTTCAAACTGAAAATCATTGTGATTTACATGATACAAAGTGAGAATACGGAAGACTGGTACAGACAAACTTGTCAGCAACAACTAAAACGTATTTAGAAATCGAATTTGACACACTTCGATGATTTGTCAATGAATATTATGGAATCCACTGCAATAATACACGAAGTTCACCCTGAATTGATGCAAAGAATATTGAGTTAGATAAGTGTCATTTAAAAAACAAAACTGAATATAATGTCATGTTGTGATGTCATTGAACCTAATGTCAAAAATATTACTGAAAATTAAATCAATATCAAAACGTTAAACTGTTAAGAAAACGTGACCTCGTCTTTTGGTTCCATCTTATCATTTTTTCCAATTGTTGAAGCCTGTTATCGAATATCTCAATCACCAAAAGTAACAACTGTAAGTTAACTAGCGAATTAGTGATGTCTAAAGATGTACTCAACGTTGTTAAGTCAATTAAGTATTGCGTGAGCATAAATTACGGTCGTTGTTTCACTCAGTCAATGGATTTCGCACGCTATAAGTAAAAGACTAGGGTCTTCAGTTTTGAGATAATATGTTCTTTGTTTTTAGTAGTCTTAATAACCTATTGTCAGTTCTTAGGTTTTAGGCTTTATTGCGTATATTCAGCTTTCCAAAGTAACGTCTCTCCAAAAATTAAAACATTTTTTAGTGAAGGCAACTCGGTCCTCATATAGCTCTGTTTATTCACTACAATAATCGTTCTTAATGAAAGTAATAAACCTTACAAGTTTAGTAGACTGAGCTGTTTAACATTTCCTCTTATGTACTCAAGCGTCAATATTAAAAAATATATGGAAAGCTATACTGTGACTAACTTTTTCATTATTTAGAATTTACATCAATCACCCAGACTCAGATCTTTAGGAGCAAGTAATTATCTTATTCAGGTAATGGAAGTTTGAAAGTGGTACATACTGTAACAATGACTGTGCAGGGGAGGGTGGCGGAAGGCCTCGAAAAACTGAATATATATGCGAATGTCATCCAAAGTAGACTCACTGTATATAAATAAATGCTTCTAGTGTTTTTGTGGAACCATATTTCATAAAAATAGTTATTATCCACAGAAATCGACAACAGTCGTGTATGAAACGTCTGTTCCCTCTTTAAAAATCGTATTTTACCCACTTGTTAAGACACAGATTTAAATAACTTATAGCTGGAATTTACATGAAACCTATTATGAACGCTTCTCATCGTTTGCAAGAGTTTAACTAATATAAATTCGTGAAATTAATCGATAAAATTAGGAAAATCTAACCGTGAAGTTTGCGTACAACACTCAGCGTATTTTAAAGTTTAATAACTACTAGTCAGGCATTATATCATAAATGCATTTAAGGTTTGCACAAGTTTGATAGAGGTGAGGAATAAATATGTTGGTTTTGTTACGAATACAAGTGATTAGTTAACATTTTATAACTAACAAAAACATAACATGATAAGATGTAAAACAAATAAGTGTGGATAGAAATTGACAGTCATGAAGAAAAGGTGCGAACAATAAAGTTTGAGATGCTAAGAGGTTGGAGGTAACCGACCCTTCAGCAAAGTGTACCTAGGGGAATGATAATTCTTATATCGATAGAATTGGGCCAGTACAAAAGGACCAGACGAACATGACATTAACAACTATCGAGTGACCGATCAGTTGCACACGAAACTTGAGCTCTGGATGATGAAAATGCATGTGATGTGATTATCGTTAATTCTCTAACCGACATTTGTACAGCTTCGCACCGAGATTTTCAACAAACTTTTGTGGGATTTAGCTTATCTATAGGTATCTTTGTGAATAGCGTTTCTCAAACCTGCCATATCAGAGTCTAGGCTTAACTATAGTCAAATTAATTAAAACTTTATCTCTTCCTGAAAGATAAATTACGATAATTAGCATGAAAATACAAAATAAACGTAGTTAGTCGGAAAACAAAAAGGAATGCACATAAATGGAGAATTACGAGATACAGTTATACGTACTTGTGAGGAGGGTGCAACTTTTGTTGATTAGTATCTAAATAAAGCCTTAACCAATGAATCAGAGTGAGGTAAATTTAAAGGAAATTACTACTGACAACTTATGATAGTTATGGAACTCACTAACTCCTAAAAAAATAGCGAAATGAAAAGTAATCGTTTAAATTCATACCACAGTTCTATAACCAAAATGATAATTATTTCCAAAAAGCAAATCCATACAACTCTAACGAATGATTCCTTTAAAATCGATACCTGAAAATGAAGAGTCATAAAGTGATGTATGAATGCAAGAATTTTCCGATAAGGTTGGCGCGGATAATTTAAAAATTATAACTTGTCTTGAGTGTTTGAGAACTAGAAAACAAAATTAAACAGAATACATTTTTCTGTCCGATTAGTCATATATCGTGGAAGTATTCAATTGTAAATAATCAATTATCGGTTTATCTCATCAAACAAGTTGCAGAACACTTCTCTAGTTACTAAGCCAGAAGTAAAAATAGTATTATCGAGAGAATATAATGACTTGAGTTGAACAAATGGTCAAGTGTAAAATGAAGTGCTGTGAATTAAAATTCATATAAATTTTTAGTGTGTTTAAAATAATTTAGTATGAATCGGTTAATTTATTTATATGATGAAGTAGAAAAAGTTACTTAAACTTGTTAAAACAAGATACTCATACTTTCAAAGTCACTGGATTCGTTTGAATTTTATAATTATCTACCTTGCTTTGTTGGTTAAATAATCAATAAATACGAATCAATTGTTTAACTGGACCAGTAAACTATACGCTGATGCACATGATTCAGCTGTCAACATATTTACTTTTTCAGTTTAAAATTAATCCAAATGAAAATAAAATGTCAATATTCATTCACGGTATTTGCATAAAATGCGGTTCTAGAAATCTTTATTAACTTCTATGATAAGTTGTTCACTAATGGAAAAGATCTCTAGATCAAATGAAAACTTTTGACGATATCATGTTATGTGAACTAAACGGTCCGGTTGCAAAGTGTTTATTGTTTCTCTGAACTGATTAATGTGACTGTTTGCATGTTTGAGCTGGCGGTACTATACTGTCTGACTTGATAAAAGAAATCACTTCCACATGCGATGACGAAAAACTCAGTCGATGTCCATTAATCAAAAGCAAAATACCTCAAGAAGCGTGATTTCGATGTCATATTATAGAAAAGCGATACATGAGTGTTCTTTATTGGTGTTTTATGAAAACGTATAAATTCCAAACAATGAATTAACGATTACTGACTGCTTATTCTTATATATATATATATATATATATATATATATATATATATATATATATATATATATATATATATATATATATATATATATTAAACACTATTGGAAACATCAAAGCTCCAAACTTTTCTGTCGGAAACTTTGGATCTAAGAGGGACGTACTGATATTACTTGTAGTTATGCATCCATTTATCGATAAATTTGGTGAAAATGTCTTCTTGAACATGATCAAAGCAGATATATGGCTCAGTCTGTTGACGATGCTTTTAAAGTAATAGAATGTGTGGTACACCACCCAT